ATTTTAGCTAAAGTCACTTGCAGCTTCCCGTATGGGCCTCACTCCAGCTCTCATGCAGAGATGTACACATTAGATATGGAAAGCAGCACAGAAATATACATTTAATGCATTTTCAGGCTTGGCCAAATTGCCAGCTTATCAGTGTCTGATCACGCATTGAGTCCAGACCCGAGGCCTAAGTCTGACAAGACTTACCTGAACGACATGGCACTCCTATCCGCTTTATCCGGATGAGTAGAAGATATGACAATCAGAGACTGACACCTCAGACAGACCTTTTAGGCAATTGTGGTTGAACCACTGAACCAGACTCAGAATCAGAACACGGCAATAGTCAGAACACGGCAAACAGACCCAGAACATTGAACAGAACACTGAAACCGTCGAAAGACACAAAAGCGCAGACTTAACGGTCTTGAAACCTACCCTATACTGTCCCCTTGACATCCTAGACATTATTTGCCCAATACAACTTGACTTGACCAGTCAAACCTTGCAAAAGCGTGAGCTACCCTTAGTTAACTAAGTGATCGACGGATAAACCAGCTGCTATTGTCACGATTCAGACGCTATCTAATCGCGACAGTTGTTATATCCATGCAACATCCCCAGCCCTCATGTCGACCTTCTGGTCTTTCCGGTAGGCTCCAAGGCTCTGGTCGTATACCGGAGCCTCTGGACCATCCAGTATCATCAGGTTTTTACGCAATGAAGAATTACTGAGTGTTTTCCGTTTATCCGCCTTTCCATCTTCTCACTTATTGTCCTACGATTTAACATCAGTCCTCCTGATTTGTCTTATTGTTAAGAACCACCCACCTTCCTTTTATGGAAAACAATTAGTTACTTAGTATAAATACATCTTTAATATGTCTTGTACGTCAGTTTGATTATTAACGTTGCTTGGCTTGTCTCCTTGCACTGAGTCGTCTCCGTCCTCTTCGTTCACCTCTGGTACTCCGACTTCCGGAATACCTGCCGGTCAGGATAGTCGCTCACCCTTGACTCCCTGTGGTGTTGGGATCCCTCCTTATACCATTCCGGACCATTCCCCGGCCCTCCGGTCTTTCGGAACCTCTGGCCTTCCAGAGCCTCCGATCCTCAGGCCCTTCGTCCTAGGTCCAACCAGCTCGGTATATAACAGTATAATCAAACTCCCTGTCTTGACTGGCAATCATGTCATATTCTTCCTTGGGCACCAGTCCTCTGGGTTTCCCATCGCTTGCAGATCTTCCGCTGAGCGATGAGGAGTGTCACGTTACTCATCACACTGCCTCACCTTGTGATGCTTCAGAGTCGATTTCATCCTCCGAAGTATTTTCGCCCAACCCAGGGACTCCGTATTCCAGTCGAATCGGTCCATGGAACTTATCTATTCCGGCTTTCCACAACCATTGGCACGTCCTCTGAGGGTTCCGGTTTCTGTTCCGGAAATCTCCGGACCTCTCTCTAGAATCGCTGAAGCTGGACAGATCCATCTGACCAGATCACCCCTTTCCTTCAGGAATTTGACAAATTCACTGCTGTTCTCCACTGGAGCGATTCCGCTCTCAGTCATGTTCTCCACGCTTCCCTTCCTCTCCGGATCACCACGGAGATGGACCAATATCCATATCCCAGTTCCCTCGACGGCTTCCGGCAAATTGTCTGTTGTATCGATTATTGGTATTGGCAGCGGATCGATGAAGAGCAAAGCGGATCTGAAGTTTCTCAAGGTGACTCCGAACCCTCCGGAGATTCCGGCAGTTCCGGTTTTGGCACATCTTCACTGGCACCTTCTGTTCTTAGTTTTGTGTCTTCCACACCTTCCACACCACCGACTGCAGCTCCGGAACATTCCGGTCAAACTTCAAAGTTTCCGGCAGCAGTCGCCAAGCTGCTCGGTAAACATGGGAAAATTCTTCTTGCGGAACGCAAACATTGGAAGCTCCAGGGTCTTTGCAAGTATTGCGGAGGCTCCGGACACAAGGTTGCTGAGTGTAGGAAGCGTCCAGCTTATTCTGATGCCGTTCAATCAGCCAAATCCACTGACTTGACCACGTGCCTGAATGACCAGCAGTCTCGCAAACTCAACCTCCGGTTGTTTGCGTCGACTTCTGGAAGTCTTTCCGAGTTTCATCCTAACCACGCATCCATTCTTTTTTCACACTCACGACAGTCCCGCTCTTATGAGCCAGATCTATGATTTCACTATATCCAACAAATTGGAAATTGCCCCGGGATTTAACTTCCGACTGAAGACTTGTCTTCCTGTCCGAAAATTATCTTTGTTTACTGCGTCATCGTTTCTGATTCCCCATCAATCTGGTCCTTGGATACCGGCAAACTCCACCACATCAATCTGTTGATTGACTGGTCAGAAGTTTCCAACTGATCCACTGCTTATCCACATAGGGTTTTAGTGTGCACACAACCGGCAATTATGCCGGATACTGTTTCGGTTCCCAAATATGGGTAGAGCAATGCTGCACTGGAGCTCCGATACTCTCCGTTGCTCACACTGACAATTCTGACGTGATCACCACGAGTCCTTCCAGACTCTCCGGCTGACATGCCACTGTTCCATCGGAACATCATCGAGACATTTGTCTCTCCCTCCGGAATTTTGGTCTGTCACACTTCAGGCCACCTATATATGCACCCCTTTGGGGTGAACTTTTCATGGAGAGGAAGTACCCCAAAGGGGTGCCCATTTAAGTGGATGTCCCGTGGACCACGGGAAGTCCCATGGGAACCATTTTTTGAGCACAGGAAGTCCCGTGGCGGGGAATCCCGGCCCGCCGGCCTAAAAATTTGGCCCGGGAAGTCCCGTGGGTCACGTCACAAGGGTCAGGACCCCAGACACCTGAGCAGCCAAAATAGCTTTTTTGCGCCCATTTGGGCTCTGTTTGGGCTGTTCCTGGGTGATCCACGAAGCCCTGAGCCAGGCCAACGCAGTGGGCTACATGCTGTGCATTAGTGCGGCAGAGAAAAATTCACATTTCCCTCCCCAAAAGCCAGCTTGCAGGCCCTTCCATGTCCTTTAGATGGCTCTTGCTGGTTCACATAGCATGGGATACATCCTCAAAACTTTTGGTAGACCAAAATTCACAGTTTCCTCTCCAAATACTTGTCGGCAGGCCCTTCCCTTGGTCTGGTTGTTGTAGTGCCATACACACCACACCTCAATGCAAAGGCTTTGACAGAGCAAAATTTCCATTCTCCTCCTCCAAAAACCGGCTCGCAGGCCCTTCATTCCCTTCATCTGGTTGTTGCAGTGGCCGCATGTCAAAGAAATGCCTGTGACAGAGCATTTTCCTCCTCAAAAACTGGCTCACAGGCCCTTCGTTCCCTTGGTCTGGTTGTTGCAGTGGCATACACACACTGCATGTCAAAGAAAGGCCTTTGACAGTGCAAAATTCACATATTCCTCTGGGAAAACTGCTCACAGGCCCTTCCCTTGGTCTGTTGCAGTGATACATGCCACACATCAACCAAAAGCCTTTAACAGATCAAAATTCCATCTCATAATGTAGCTAGTTTGTGTCAAAATGTATTATTGTTGGGTGTCCTATTTCCATCTTATTCATCCTGGGACTTCCCGCACCCCTTGTTTTTACGGCGGGACTTCCCGTTTCCTTATTTTTCATGGCGGGACTTCCTATTTCCTTATTTTTCATCACGGGACTTCCTGCATCCCTTGTTTTTACAGCGGGACTTCTCGTTTCCTTATTTTTCATCACAGGACTTCCCGCATCCCTTGTTTTTACAGCGGGACTTCCCGTTTCCTTATTTTTCATGGCGGGACTTCCCGTTTCCTTATTTTTCATCACGGGACTTCCCGCATCCCTTGTTTTCACAGCGGGACTTTCCGTTTCCTTATTTTTCATGGCGGGACTTCCCGCATCTCTTGTTTTTATGGCGGGACTTCCCGTTTCCTTATTTTTCATGGCGGGACTTCCCACATCCCTTGTTTTTACGGCGGGACTTCCCGTTTCCTTCTTTTCCATGGCGGGCCTTCCCACATCCCTTGTTTTTCAAGGTGGGACTTCTGATTTCCTTTCATTTTTTTGTGGAACTTGGCAAATAGTTCAATTTTTGATTCATACCCTAGATTGAAGAGCTACCCTGATTCATTCCCCACACTGATGATCTCATCCTTCCCTGATTTCAGTGTCATCTTTACCGAACTGACCAAACTTCCTTTCTGGGATAATAGCGGTTGCACACCTAATAAAGCAAACTCATTAAAATGGGAGGTGAAAGGTGAGCTTCCAGACCGACTTTCAAAAAGTGCTGAAAGTGCTACATTCCACGCTCCGAGATTTTTCCTATTGGCCCGGCATTTCCCGGACCAATAGGAAAAATCTCGGCCTGCAGATTGTAGTACTTTCAGTCGCTTCTGAAAGTCTGTCTGAAAGATCACCTTTTTACCTCCCGTTTAACGAGTCTGAAAGATTGCTTTATTAGGTGTTTTGTATCCTTCATTTTTTGTTGAGTCATCCATTATTCATTATGGTCTCATCATCCTTAGCACCCATTCCATTCATTCTCCCAACAGGCCCTGTTTTTGTTTTGCTCTGTCATTCTTTGCATGCCCTCTTATTTGGGTCTCCCAGCAAAAACTGCCTTTTTGGGACAATAGCGGTAGTGTTCCTTTTTTGGTCATTGCATTTTTTTCTTCAAGTCATTTTCATTATTCACGTAAAATGCCCGACCATCCATTCACTTCTAAATACAATTCCACTCGCTATTGATTTTCTTCCCTCTTTCCCTTTTTTTTGTTTCACTTGCGCAAAACTTCCCGTTTGGGACGGTATCAGTTGTTGTCCCCTGTTTGGCACGGACACTGATCCGAGGAATCAGCAGCGTGATACCGTTACACCGCCAAACCCATGGTGGGCAGGTGGGATTGCAATACAATATCTTGCCATACCTAACGCCAAAAAAATAACCAAGTACGTTCAAGCCACAAAAGTCGTAGACATTCACACCAGACAACAAGCCTTGAAACAAAAAAATGGCCTGGCCCCGAGTCGAACGGGGAACCTCCGCAAGGCGACGTTTACGTATCTGGAGGCAAACCTGTGCGGCGTGATACCCTTACACCACCAGTCCTATGTTAGAGGTGATCTGGAGTGGAATAATGTGCAATGTCTAGCCTCCACACCAACCATTATCAAAAAAAACAAGGTATGTTTCCCGTTACGTTCGTGTATTTCCCACTCTCTTGCACTTTTTTCATCTCACCCAGCCAAAATGTCCGCTTTTCGTCTCAGTCCACAAAAACCCCGCCCCCAAAAAAAGCACAGAAAGAACAACACATACTATATATCTCTATATGTACCATGTCGCGAGCAGCGAGCAGCGCACGCACAACGCAACACAGAGTCACAGGTGTTTCTATGTGTGCGGCATGGGACTATGCCTACGCATCATATGGTTGTCGCTCGGGGAAATCAGACAAGAAAATCCTATATAATATGTTAGTCATGTTGGTTTCGGGGAGCAGGCCAAATGACACATCTTCAAAGTGCCTGTGCTCTCCAGCGTGGCGGGTGTGGCACTAACTGTCTGGGCACTAGACACAAGGGGGATCAGCGTGTTGTTGTTCAAAAGTTGAGCCCGAACCCATATTTTGTTGCCAAGCCAATACATTCCTTCTGTTTGTTATATGTCGAGTCAGGCCAAGGCCAAGGAAGTCCGACCTCGGAGTTCGCGGTTTTTCGCAACACTACAAAGAATAGAGTGAGCGACTATTCAGGTCTGCAGTTCCGCACAAGACTATAGTCCGGAGTCACGGAGTTCGGAGTTCGGAGTTGAAGTCCGGATAGAGGATGAAGGCAGAGGCTCGACCAACGCCGAGATAGCGAAGAACAATCAATAATCAAACTGAAGTACAAAACATAACTAACTAGCTTTTAAACTAAACACGCTATTGTCTATTGAATACAATAGCGTGCGAGTTATTGGTAAGTAAGAAATGCAAAACAATAAGGTGCCAATATGACTTAGTAAGACTTAACAATAAGAAACCTCGGACTTGGTAAGGAAGCCCGAAGAAGAAGACGAACCAGACAATAAGGCCTCGGTGTAATATAAGTCCGTCGGCCCGAGGAGTCAACCGTGCTTAGAAGGGAAACGCTCAGTAGACCTTCATAGCGTGAAAACCCTTCTCGGGGATTGCCGGACCGGGCCGGCCGGTCCGATAATGCACGGATATAACACTGTTGCGCGCTGTACAAACACATTAGACGACTGGGACTAATTTTTTATCCTTCAACTCGTACCTTGAATAATATCATCAGTTAGAAGTCTTTCAATAGAGAGAATGAACTCACTTCAACTTCGGCCCACCTACTAATCCCACATATCCCTTCTTATTAGAAGAGTAGATACACCCCCTGTACCTCTTTTAACAAGAAGAGTTCAATGTTGGCGCCGTGTGCTGCAGTATATGCTGCAGTTTATTCTCAAATATGCTGCAAGATAACTGCAGTGTAGTCCCCCATTTGACTTGGTGCTTTCACAAGATATATTACCTAATCCCGTTGGGCACTGTGCCCAATGGTGAGGGCAGGACACCCCAAAAAGGAAATTCACCAAAAAAATATTGTAAAATACAGGAAAAAATAACCACTCTTCCCCCTTCACCGACCTGCCATTGGGTGGGATACCCCAAAAAGGAAATTCACCAAAAAATATTGTAAAATGCGGGGAAAATAAGGGGGGAAAAATAACCACTCTTCTCCCTCCACCCACCTGCCATTGGGCAGGACACCCTAAAAAGGAAATTCACCAAAAGATATTGTAAAATACAGGAAAAAATATAGAAAAATAAGGAGAAAAAATAACCACTTTTCCTCCTCCATTCACCTGTCATTGGGCAGGACACCCCAAAAGGGAAATTCACCGAAAAATATTGTAAAATACAGGATAAAATAGGAAAAAAAAAATAAGGAAAAAAATAACCACTCTTTCCATACTACCATTCTAGTTAGAATGAGTAACGTGGTAAGTTTACCTGTTCTATTAGAAGGGAGATCTAGTGGTCTAGGGCTACCCTCAATAAATGGCAGCAAAAAAACTGATATAAATCACAATTAAACAATATTTCCGCTGTCTGTATTGGGATTGATGGGTCCTGCCATTCATTGCCTTGAGATTGATGGCTGTCTGTATTGGGTGCTATAACTGTGATTGCTGCCTATATTGAGGTTGCAATTGATGCCAGGTTGCATTAAATATCAATATTTGTTCAAAAGTGCTGGCTCTCAGAAAGTATTTTGCATTTTGCAGGCCAACAAGGCTACCAATTGCAAAATGCTATAGATGACTCTTGTAGGCCTGGATGAGCTCTACAATTTGGGTATAGGGATCAAAGGTTTGGCTGATGACTTTCCTTTTTGGGACACTAACACTTTCGTCCCAAAAAGGAAGGTTACTACATTTGCACTTCTCTGGCTCATAATTCAACCGTTTTGGATGATCTAACTGGATAGGAGTGTTGTTCTAGGTTCTTTTAAGTCAACTAGGACACATTAGAGCCTACTACATTGCAATAATAGGGTGAAAATAGTGAAGTTGATAAATTGTGTCTGGGCCATAATATCCTGGGCTATGCAAATGGAAATGGCTCCTGAGTGCACTACCTTGTTCCTTCAAGCTACAAAGACACCCTCCTGGTAGTTTACTGCATTATAATGATGAAAAACATCGCAATTTGGTCATACAAGGAAATTTCACTTTGGCCCTATCATGTGTTCCTCCATGATGTGAAATATCCCAAAACACATCCTTTGGCATTGGATGATGTATTCATAGCAGTAAAGTAGGCAATTGATACCTAGGGCACCTTGTACCCCATGTTTCAGGCTGATCTTGTTCTGTATTTTTGTTCACCATATTCAGCATGCCACAGGGTCATGGATGATGTTCTGGAGGTTCTTACTAAGTTCCCTGGGCTATATGGTCAGTTTTTAGTCAAAATACTGGCCAATATATAATGGTAAAATTCGAAAATGCTCAATGTCATCTTTTACCTATTTCATGAATAAGACACCAAGGAGGCCATTCAGTGGGAAGTAAACACCGGCAATAGGATCAGACAGTGTAAATACTCTATATTACAATTTATTTCAAGTGTTTTGGTGAAGTTTTGGCTGAATACTGTTTCTCAGAATATGGGTTTGAATACAACTTTTAGTTTTTTATATTTTTTCCTGTATTTTACAATATTTTTTAGTGAATTTCCTTTTTGGGGTGTCCTGCCCACTATTGGGCATAGTGCCCAATGGGATCAAGTAATACATCTGGTGAAAGCACTAAGTCAAATGGGGGACTATGCTGTAGTTATCTTGCAGCATATTTGAGTATAAACTGCAGCATATACTGCAGCACATTGTGCTAACATGAACCCTTCTTGTTAGAAGAGGCACAGGGGGTGTATCTACTCTTCTAATAAGAAGGGATATGTGGGATTATTAGGTGCTTCGGCCACCCCAAACAGTCCAGATACCCCTCGACCACTCCAACGAATCCTTCCAACCCGCTGATAGCCTCGTAGTCGAACTTCTCCCAGTGGTAGCGGGGACAAAAGTCGCATTTGATGGGGCCCAGCCATGTATTGGCCAGTTTGAAATGCATATGCAAAATCGCCTCTGCGTCCTAATCAAAACCGGATGGAAAAAGAGAATAGAAACGCACCGAACTTCGCTGCGAACAGTACTTCCCAGCAATACTTGAAGCGCTGACGCTCCCCCTGCACTGGCGGCGCCATGGGTGCTTCGTCCTCCCGCATTTCAGGACGATCGCCTCGTCGTCGTCATCGTCGTCGTCGTTGGCGAAGGTGAGGTATTCATAGACGAAGCCCCACTTGTCCGAGTGCCTCGGTAGCGCGTAAACTACAAAATGAAATCCCTGCAGTAGAACGTAGACACCCGGGCTGAAGATCATCAAGAAATGATATAAGTAGATTCATGCGACCGACCCTACATGTGAACTACACAATAAAATCTTTGCAGTAGAACATAGACGGCGCGATCACAGAGGGCGTGGGTTTGCCCCACTTTGCGTCTGCGTTTGCTGCTGCCATTTTGGCCTCAACGCGCTCCTGGAACACCTTGCCTGCAACAAAATATGTTAGCGGGTGCAGCAAGATCCTCAATGACGACGTACGAAAGCAGAAGTATTCGAGCCGACTTAGGGAGTATTCGGGATAGACGTTGGGCATCTGAAATTTCCAGGTGGGCAGGCCAACTGTCGGGGGGAAAGTCGAGATGTCAAAGTCGTCACGGCGAGAGCGAAGCAACCAGCCACGCACTAGAACCAAAGTCAGACGGAACATTCAAACGTGCTAGAGCGAAACGTACGTTGGTGATCCAATACAATGCGGTGTTCGTCGTTCAGGGGGAAGGGGTTGACCACGCAAAAGTGTACATCCTTGCCAGCGAGATCAGAAGCCTTCTGTCAATCGCCATCTGCCACCGTCATGAGCTCTTCATAAAACGTGATCGCTGCGCACTTGAAGTCCACTACCTCGTGCCAGTCATCGTCGACGTCGGCGGACATCTTGTACTTCGCCTCGTAGGCATCGCCTAAGGACAAATGAGTCGACCCCAAGCCCACTTCGCAAAAACAACGTACGGTCGCGGGTGTAATCCCAGATTGTTTCAGAGTCACTCAATGGCGTGTTTGCTGTGAGAGCTATTAGACACCGAAATGAAGGCCAAGAAAGTCGCAACGCACCAATCACTGGGTGGCACTGTATCAAGCTGTCCAGCTGGGAGTCGCGTTCTGCAATGGCGGCAGGAAGGTCGGCGTCACGGATGTACTTGCCATACAAGTCCTCGTAGTCTTCTTCTACAAGCCGAAGTTTCTCAGTACGCATCTCACGGCGCCAGCACAGAACCTACACTCACGTGCATGGAGGAATTTCGTCAATATGGCTTTGTTGAATGGTCAATCCATCGCCTCGTCCTGGAGCGACGCAGCGAGGGCGTTGTGCTTCTCGCGTTCGGCCTCCTCTGCAATGAGGTGCAACTTGGGGCCGCCGGCGTAGACTAAAGACTCCAGGAGGAGAGGAGAGGAGAGGCGGGGCATGGGTTTTTTCCTGGGCA